GCACGCCACTGGCCCAGTGGCCCTCAGTCTCACACTCATCGCTATGGGATTATTACAGCCTTCTGAAAACAATCTATGAATGGAAAACTTTACATAATGTAACGACCGAGGTTCTTCATTTTAAAACCCAAAATAATTAACGATAGATGACGTGTGTTGCACAGAACACAGTGAAGAAATGATGTCACTGCAAATTACGCTAGTGGGCGTTTTCCTTGATTTCTGTGAGGTGGTCTGTGCTTAAATGACACCTAAAGGATTGTGGGATACGTCGTTAGCACCACTGAGGAACATCACATGCTCCTTAAGCCAGAGGAGCCTTGATAGGAGGCATATTCTTCTCCTACCTCCTTGCTTCCTGCTAGCAATGTACCATCTGTACCATCAGCTGATCTGTGCAGCCAGGTATACATCTGGGTCGCCCTCAGTCTTGTTTCCCCTCCAGTGCCTCCAGCTGTCAGTGGGTCAGCAGTCCATCACAGGGAAACTCAGAGGAGTCCATGTGTATCCAGTCAGTCTGTAGACTGTTGGAGAAAAGCCCAGAACTTCACGGTCAGTGATGAGAATGAAAGTAAAGACTTGATATATTGGATTTATTAGATTAAACGTCATTCTGATTGTATTTATTTGTCTCCCATCAACACATCGACTGTAGAAGAAACTTTATTGTCCCTCAGCGGGAAATTCACCTTCAATATAGGGTGCGTTCAAATTCATGGGCTGCGTCCTCTGAAGGCCAGATTCGTAGGTTGATTACGCCATAGCGCAGCGCAGAGGTCTGGTCGGGTCCGATGTATCCTCTGTAGCCTTGGATATCCCAGGATGCATTGTGAGACCAAGCAGTAGTTCCATCTGGTTATAGAGTCAGATGTGTGGCGGTAATGTTTGGTTTAAAGGTTTTTATCTGTTACTGTGTAAATGGGTTTGGCTGGAATTTAAGGACAGATTCTAATATATCTGCAGGGGGGGGACTATAAATCTGATAGGATTTTTATCTTTCTATTGCTGTTTTGCACAATTTGCTTAACTAAGTATTTTTTGTTGTTGAATATTAGAGATTTTGCAGATATATTTTTTATACATACATT